CACTAAAAACAGAAATAATGAATCTTGTTGACAGAATGTATGTGAAGTGAAACCGCAATAACGATGAACACCATAATAAACTATTAAGCATAATATGCAAGTAAATATTCCGATCCGACATATTATCAGATAAGGCGCTTACCTATTATTAGCAATTACCTAAACAACAGTAGTTGTTTCCTATAATTGCTAAACCCTACAAAGCATAGTACCGCGCAATCGGATTATGAAGATCAATCTCCATAATCTGCTTGCACAAACATAAATATTTGTAGTCAACAACTGATACTGTAATTAGAACTGACAGTTCTCAAAGTCCTTTTATATTATATTGATCTGATGATTAGGTGATGCGATGTACATTAATAATTTTCAAAGCGGGAAGTGCATTTGTTTTAGTTTAGATGAATATTTTCTAATTGAGGAATATTCACTTTTGAATAATGTAGCCAACAGGTTTTGGGGAACAAGCTTAATACACAACATGTTAATAATAAATATGCTGTTAATAATTACGAAATGGTAAATGTTGTATGCTGAAATTTCAGAAGAATGTACTTACGGAAAATTAATTTATTAAAAGAATTGACTTGAGAATGATGTCTACAAGGTGTTCGCCGAAACCATCGCAGCAAAAACATCACGGATGAAAAACATCGCGGAGAAAATAACGCAAGAAGAAAACGTCGTGGTACAAAACATCGCAAAGAGAAAACATCGCAGTTCTAAAACATCGTGGTACAAAATATCGTGGTTGAAAATAAAGCGGTTCAAAAACTTCGCAGTTTAAAAACATCGTCGTCAAAAATAGCGCGGTAAAAATAAAGTACCTACAAATCATCGCATGACAATAACATCGCACACATGCATTTTCAGGTTTTGAAAGTTGTAAATGCATGTTCGTATAATGATTATAGAGCACAAGAAAGAAAGATGAATTCTTTTATTTCTATATTTCATGAATGAACTAATAAATTTTTGCTGAAAAAATAAAAAAGAAATTTAAGTACTTAAAAATTAAAACTGAATAGAAAATTAATGCACCTTAAAAACTTAATAGAATTTTAAATTTATTTAGTTAATTAACAAAGGTCATTAATGAATTAAGCTTTTTTATAAAGTTTGATAAGTTTTCATGAAAAATACAGTCTAAATGTGCTTAGAAGAAGGAAGATAAAAAGATTAATAACTGCATGAGGTTACCTCTATAAAAATTGCTTAGTTGATCAAATTATTTTCTTTCAAATGTGTTAATCTGATATTTTTTTAATGAAAATTACATATTTTTTGTTTCCGTTTATTCTTAAATGACGATTATTCCGTTTATTCTTTCGATGACGATGTTTTTAAACTGCGAAATTTTCGAACCGCTTTATTTTCGGCCACGATATTTTGTACCACGATGTTTTAGAACTGTTTTATCTCACGATGTTTTATACACCGACGTTTTCTCCTTGCGTTGTTTTCTCTGCGACGTTTTCTTCCGCGATGTTTTTGCCTCGATGTTTTCGTCTGTAACCGTCTACAAGGCTATTCGCACAATTGTTAGACGATTTTTCATTGTACTTACACAAATATTTTAAGTAGAAGTTTTGTGTTTTGAATGTTTTTTTTTATTACCCTTATTCTTTGCTATCTTTCTACAACGTGATTTAAGAGAAAATACGTAATCACTTTTTCAGTATCTGAAGAGGTATTTTATCTTATTCCTCTTGAACAGATTCCCAAAGTCCAAGGAGGGTCCCTTTTAGAAGACCAAAATCACCAAAATACACGTACTGTACACCAGGACATTTAGTAGGAATATGAGTAATTGGTACGATCTTGATATCCGCATTATGTTCTTTTTTTTCCAGGAAATTAACTATGTATTTTGACTTGTGACTTCTTTCTTTGTCTTGATGCAGTTCTACTGATTGGATAGCACTGTGGGTACAAAGAAGGTATTTCATATTTGAAAATTGGGTCTAAAATATGTTCTTAATGATATGTGGAGTTGACCATAAATTTTTTCCCACTCTCTTTATTTTTTATTTGCCATTATAGGAAAAATGAACAACAATCATAAATTCCTTTGTGAATATTACTTTAGATTCTTTGAAACACGTGTTAAGATATTTCCTTCACTTTGATGATCATAAATGGATCTTTTTTTATTGCAGTCATTTAAATATACCCAATATTCATCTGTTGTGACAATATATTTTCATTTTTGTTATTTGCAAAGCCAGCAACAATCAGCCTTTAAAAAAACTTTCTTTAGATTCTTTGAACGATGTTTTAAGATATATTTCTCCTGTTTGATGATAATAAATAGATCTTTTTTTATTGCGGGTATTTAAATACACCCAAAATTCATCTATTGAGATAATGTTTCCTTTCTTTTTTCGAATAATTGCTTCTCTCATAGAGAATTCTGCAACGCGTTTTGCTTTCGGCGATATGTCGTGCAGGAAGACAATGCACATTAAGTTTTTTCGCCATTTTAAGATTCGAATTATCAATAATCACTTTGTTTACAATTTACGGAGCATTTCAATGATTATGCAACTCTCTATCGAATTCGCGGATTTTCTTTCTTACCTTTGCAACATTCAAAACATTTCGATTTTGCTCCTTTGAAGTTTTTGTTTCCTTTTTACTTTCTAATATTACTGATCGTTGCTTTAGATACCGAAATATCACGGCTTTTAACAACGTTTTTGTAATAACTACATACGAATACTTTTCTTAAGAAAGAGCCCAAAAGTATCAGTCATTGCTTCTTTAATAGCGCGTTTTCGATGAAAACACAACTGTCAAGTAGCAGACGATAATTTATACAGTGTCTCACAAAAGTGATGGGACACTTGTGCTTTACGAAAGGAAACTGTAGTAAAATAAATTAAAAAAAATGTAAAAATTTTTTGTGGATGTGTTTCATACATAAATTTAGTAACAATTATTACATAACATACATTTTCTCAATATTAAAATAGTAATTTAATAAAAATACAATTGTTTAGAACGGAGCACAAAATGGCTCACATAAGTGATGGGATAAGCTCACATACTTTTCCATCAAATATTTATCCAAAAATTTTACTTCTTAAAATGTTTTAGTATTTTGTTGGATTTCCTTTTATTTTTAAAACGTGATTTAATCTTCTTGGAATGATTCGACTAATTTTTTTGTGGAGTGATTTTACCCCATTCTTCTTGAAGCCATGATTTTAATTGTTGTTTTGAAGAAATGGTGTGTTTGCGAATTCTTGATTCCAATTCTTGCCAAATATTCTCAATGGGATTTAAGTCTATAGATTGTGATGGTGTTTTTATTTCAGGACAGTTATACAGCAGCCAGAGTCTAACGTTTAAAGCAGTGTGCTTGGGGTCATTGTCCTGGTAGAATTTAAAATCGTTATGAAGGGTCAGTTTTTGTGCTGAAGATTTCAAATTTTGATTTAAAATGTCAATATACTTGTACTGATCCATTATACTGTCAATAAAAACAAGATTACCAACTCCAGCGGACGTTTACACCCCCATATCATAAATCCTCCTCCACCATGTTTTACTGTTGGCACCAAGTTCTGTTTGTGAAATTCTTTCCTGGGTTTTCTCTACACCAAGATTCTATCGTCAGAACCAAATATATTAAATTTACTCTCATCAGCAAATATAACTTCATTCCAGTAATCAGAGTTCTTATTTATGTTGGATTCTGCGAAAGCCAGTCTGAGTTTTCTATTCTTTTCACTTACAAAGAATTTTTCCCTGTCTGCTCTACTGTGATATCCAGCAGATCGAACTACTCTTCTAATAATCTCAGGTTTAACAATTTTTAACAATTATTCCATATAATGCTTGTAAATCAGCAGCAACTTTAGCAGCACTCATTTTTGGACTTTTTTTAATATTTTGAACAATAATTCGCTTTATTTCATTGGATAGCTTTGATGGTCGGCCAGGTCTTCTTTTATCCGGAAACATATGATTCTTTTTATATCGTTTAATGATATTGAAAACTGTTGAAAAACTCATGTTAACTGTTTCAGCAGTTTCTCTAATAGATTTTTCACGTTCAATATGCAAATTAATAACTAATTTTCGAATTTCAGGAAGAGTTTTTTTTCGTTTAGCATTCATGGCTGCACAGAGCTAAAAAACACAAAAATTCCAAAACAAACTGGAGAGAAAGACTGCAGACGGTTTTATAAATTATTGCTAATTCCTTTTGAGTAAAAATAAAGCCCCAAAAATATTTTTATTGTAATACGTAGTAGTATCTAATGGTGTCCCATCACTTATGTGAGCCATTTTTTGCTCTGCTCTAAACAATTGTATTTTTATTAAATTATTATTTTAATATTTTGAGAAAATGTATGTTATGTAATAATTGTTACTAAATTTAAGTATGAAACACACCCACAAAAAAGTTTTACATGTTTTTTAATTAATTTTATTACAGTTTCCTTTTGTTAAGCACAAGTATCCCATCACTTGAGACACTGTACTTTGAAAAATGTAGCTGTAGTTAAAAACATTTCAAACAGGTAATTTTATTATAGGGAATCAAAATCGTCTAAAAATGTTCAAAAAGCTTCTGTGTTCATTACTGACACGTATAATGTCTTGCTCATTTGTCATCTGAAAAACGTTTCCAAAATTCAATATGATACTAAAAATATAATTCTTAAAATATCAATTCTTTGCACTATAATGTTTGATTTTGTTTAATTCAGGGCATTTATTTCGTAAATTATAGTACATAAATTGCTAATAATCTTGCTGAAGTATTAATATACGACAGAATAGATTCGTAACACAATTTACGAAAAAAAGTAAATACATACACCTTTTTATGATATAAAATACATTCAAAAAGACTTATAAAATATAAAACTTCATTAAAGATACAATTATTCGTTAAAACCAATACGCATATCATAATCAAACCAAATACTTACTATTAAAATCTATTTGACTAGCAAAATTTAAGTGAGACTTTGGATACTTACTAGAGCTACTTTTTGTATCGGTACTAGATATCCTCTTTACTGTAGCAGGATCTATAAATAAAACAAAATGATTTTAATAACCTATTATTCTCCGAAAGGTAAAAGATTTCATTGATATTTAGAAGTCTAGAAAAGAGGAAATATAATTGAACAGAAAAATGTCATGTTGTTGTGGCTAATCTTACTTGTTCGACATAATCAGAACATGTCACGAGTTTTATTATGGTAAGGAGTGCAAAATTATGTCTGTCATTGGCAAGAGATTGAACAGCAGCCACTAGCGTGGTACGTGTTTGCCCAGTTCCACTCCAGTTTTGAGGAAGGACACCCCGGGGAAGGTCTAAAAGTCTCCCACTCCTCTTCCAAAATCATTTGTAGCACCATGTTGAAATACTATTCATGTACCACCATGCATAATGCAACATTTTATATATATGAATATAGAAACGAAGTACTCGGGACATGCCGAGGTGCCTCTAATGCACTGCTGGCATTGGAAGGGCCTACGATGTAGCGTGAAGCGAGCATCTTCTGTTTCAAGCTAGGCTAGTAGGAAGGGAAAATACCTGTTGGTAAATATCTGGTGTCCCCCATACTTTTACCTATACTTACCACCAAATAATTCCTATTTCTGGTAAGCATACTGTGAATGTAGAAATTATGTTGGTTAAACTTTAATGAATAAAAGCTTTCAATGTAACATAACTTTTTAATTTAAAGATACTGAATTAAAACTACAGATATTTGAGAATTCATAGTTTTTAACCTAATGTAATTAAATAAAATAGCATTAAAATTTGCAGACTTTAAAACAGAAATAGTAGCATTTTTGAAAAACATTTAGAGCATTTTCCAAACAGTCTTTCCTTTTCATAAAAGAAAGCATGCAAATATATATACAGAAAGCGATGATTTAGAATTGCAATGGTGAGATTCAAAATTTTGAGGGTTGTTTTTAAATCGATTATGGTATAGATTGTAATGATATCTCCTCAAAGGAAAAAGAAGATGAAAAATTGTATAGTGTTACAGATCTGAAATTATCCACTACACGGGAGAAAATTCTAGAAAAGATCTAATCTTACTTAAAGATCTTTATGTAAGAAGACAGTGCCTATAGGTAGTGTATCTTTAAATGAGAAGTAAGTGCCTGAAGTAATTAATGAAGTAATTAATGAGTAATTAATGAGTTAATTACTTCAGGCACGACTTCTTACTAGGCAGAAGAAGTAGGTTAGGAAGAAATGCCCTCTACAGAACTCTAAATCATCTGGTTCAAAGCCTTGCCGTCTTCAACTTATTTTAGGAAAGTTGCCCTTTTTAAGATCTCAACTTACTAAGATTATTGAAGATGAATGAACTAACGTTGGTGACTAACTGCCACATAATCTACACGGGTAGGTGGAAATTAAGAACCGTTTCGGGTATTTTGTGCCTCCAGAGCCGAGACTATTGGAGACCTGCAAAATACTATTGGAGACCGAGACTATTAGAGACCTGCAAAATGAAAGACCCCAAGAAACACTGCTCAAGGAAAGGGAGGACTTTCTAATGGAAACCAGGTCTTAGTCACCTTACAGAACAGAAAAAACATGGAAATATCCATGTATGCATAAGAGACAGCACATGTTTTATAAGGTATTTATCCCGCCTTCTTAGCATGCCTTCATAGTGTAGTGGTCAGCACGCTCGACGCGAATTCCAGAGGTCCATGGTTCGAATCCCGGAGACGGCATTGCTCATTTTTTATGTCTCTTGCTTCATATTAACCTAATGACTCTTCACCGTATCTTACCTACCATTTTAGTGACCGAATTATGGTATAATCCTCTTGTACCGAAACCTAGCTTGCCCATTTACATTGGTCCCACCAGTGGCCGAGGAGTTTAAATCGCTAAACACTGGTAGTTCTGACCTGGGTTCGATTCCAGGCGAGCGGGCTGGCTGCTCTTGGTTTTCCTCAGGTGTATACGTGTATACGAAGCAGTTTGCAGGTTCCCTTAGAAACTCCTTCACGAAGGCATGTCTTAGGCAGATAGGCCTGGTGTTTTTTTGTTATAATCTACCAAACCAAACTATTTACATTGAGCAGCTTCTTCAGGTAAATTAGAATACTCCGAAACAAGTGTTTTATAGTAAGTGGTAATGTATGAATAACGGCGTTTGTTCAGTAGCATATGAAAATTAAATTTAATGGAAGTTTAGGATAATGTCCAGTTTAAACTTTTAAAAAAATTGCAGGAGGTTCGAGGCAATAACACAGTTCAAAATACTACGATGACATCCATTAATATCGTAAATACGAGATAACGCTGAAGATGATACTTATAATGATGCGACAAATATCCCAGTATTCGCTGCTGATTGAGCCTGTAAGACACAACAAACAATCTGGAAAACGGCTGAAATTACAAGGATATTTCAGCTATCAAAATTATTGTTCACTTTGAGTATCAATTAAAATATCAATAAATCGCAGATAAGTGTTACACGAGAATGCTTCGTTCACAGATCACGTCTCAAGTTTTCAATCAAAATAGGTAATACTTTCCCATCCGCATTCCCCATATTCTCCTGACTTTGCCCTCAGCAACTTGCAGAGATAACAATTGGTGTTGTGGTTTATCTTACTTGTCTGACAGTATCATCATAACTGGCCTACGAATTTCATCATGGCAAGAATAGCAAGATTACGCTTTCGTTGGCATTCAGCGCCCTACAGGGCACAGTGTGACTTCGCTCATTTCCGACCCTATTTTAATGGAGAGCATTCCAGAGGGACGGGTCCAAGGGTCTCCTACCAACTGTTTCCCTACCACAACCTCTCGAGAAGATTTTCCACTCGCAATGTTTTTAGAATGCGCAACATGCCGCAATGAATCTATACATTTACAAACATCGGTGCCTCATCTGGGATTCGAACTCGAACCATTTGGTATCGCAGTAAAATCTCCTAGCCCCTACATCAGCGGTGCCCAACCTTGTGCTCGCTGATCTTTTTGTATGTGCTCGCAAGCTCGATTAGGTACTACAAACAAAAAATGTTTTAAAAATAACCATTCATTTACATTTCTTAATTGTAAAAATACGGTAAGCATTTACAGTCATAAGATATATCTTGCAAGACGTTATAAAATAATTGATTGCTGACTCATGAACTTGATAGCGAACCTGAAATCTTATTGCTCCATTCCGATGTTTAGGTAGCTCAGCAGGGGAAACATACAACGATTTGTAGAATTTCTTTCGCCAATAAAGCAGCTTTGGGAATCCGGTAACGAAAGTTATAAAGAATTGGACGATAATAATTGGTTATCCCATCTGTATTTTCTCGCGGATATGACAGCTAAACTGAACAAACTGAACGAAGATCTCCAGTTTAAAGAAATAACCCTTTTTCAATTGACTGGGACTGTAACTGCTTTTCAGATAAAGTTAAGTTAAATTTGTTGATAAATCAGATGAAAGAAAAACATTTCACCATTTTTCAGAATTTGTCAAGCCATATTAATAACCACAAGGCAATTGAAACAAAGAAATACTCGGTAAACCTAAATGCACTGAAAAATAATTTTGAACTCCGCTTCTTTGATTTCCATAAAGTTCAACCAATATTATTATTCATCTCAAACCCACTTGCCGAAATTAATATTTCAGATGTATCACATAAGATTGGAAATATGTGTAACAAAAATGTTGATGTCTTGCAAATGTGCTCACCATAGGCCAAAATGTGCTCGCTATAGGCCAAAGTGTGCTCGCGAGAGACCAAAGGTTGGGCTCCACTGCCCTACACCGTCTGTGCGGCGCTAATATATATGTTACGGTGAAACACCGAAATCTGGAGAATGTCGACTTTCACCGGTGAATGGCAACATTCACATAGTCGCTTGGTGTATGTGCGAAATACTTTCCAAATACTCTTATTTATGACTTACACCGGTCAATGTCGACATTCACCATGTACTAATGTTGAATGTTGAACACATAAGAATATTATATTTTCTTCTCCGTAATTCGGTCGCGAAAAAACGCACTTGAGACTTAAAATAAGAACTTAAAACACACAGTACATTCAAAATGAGAAAGGAAAATAATAGAAGTTAAAAACTTACTAAATAACGTGATTCAAATCTTATTTATTGCAAAAACTTAAACCATTATGACACTTTGAATTGCACAAGATGCCCTTGCTTTTACAACTGCATTTATTTGTGGAACACTTCCTTTTGCAATGACAGCGTGTACATATACTCCTCTCTTTTCAACCTACACCAGAGCATATCTGTGATTGTCGATTGTCGACATACACCGGTGAGGGTCCGAATGTACAAGAATGTAATGCAATATTCGATCTTTCACCGACGTATTTGGTGAATGTTGACATTCTCCGGTGAAATACGACATTCTCCAATTTCGGTCTTTCACGGTAACATATATACGCTGATATTAAAACCGTCTGTTTGCTAGCACAGAAAGAACTGAATATCATAAAGCTGGCTGAATGAAGAACATATTTTTGGACTTTGGCATTCAATCCACTAGGCAAGCCACAATATCAAATGAAGGTTTGGAAAAGTTCTTCAGAAATCTCTGAACATGGGGAAAATCCAATTAATGTGACAATGTCTTATCTGTAAAATGAATGCACTTCATCATTCTGAATCTAAGAACGTAAGTTTAACAATTTGCTAAGCTTTTTAATCCTACAGGCCTGGAAATATATTATAATTTCACCCATTCATTCGAAAAGGGATGAAAGGTTTAATAGAACCGTACTTCCTTTATGTAAAAATATGAAAAAGTCTGACGTACACAGAATTTTTAATTTATTTAACATTAAATACTTTCAATTGCAGTTCTCTTTTGCAAAATTTCTGCGCTAGATTTTTAATTAGTAGTTAGTTATGCAACTTCTTTCAGAATCTTAGGAAGAAAAATAAGCCAATTAATTGGGATTATTGAAGTCTTTAATGATAAGATTCGTGACTAATTTGCTCGGACAGAAATTAATGAGGAACTGGAAGAAGATAATTTATCAGTTAATTTCC